TCCCAGCTACTCAGGAGGCTGAGGCAGGAGAATTGCCTGAACCCAGGAGGCGGAGGTTGCAGTGAGCGGAGATCGCGCCATTGCATTCCAGCCTGGGTAACATGAGTGAAACTCCGTCTCAAAAAAAAAAAAAAAAAAAAGAAAGAAAGAAAGAAAGAAAAAAAAAATATATATAAAATTAGCTGGGTGTGGTGGCATACACCTGTAGTCGCAGTTGCTTGGGAGGCTGAGGTGGGAGGATTGCTTGAACCTGGGTGGTTGAGACTGCAGTGAGCTGAGACTGCACCACTGTACTCCAGCCTGGGGAAGACAGCAAGGCCCTGTCTCAAAAACAAAAAAACAAAACAAAAACAAAAACCACCTACAGAAATTATCACACTTAATCTCAAGACTTTAGTATTCAAATAAAAACAATACAAGCCTGCCTCCATCACTGCTGTTATTCAACATTCTACTGAAGAAACAACCTAACTAATGCAATCAGCAAACACCAAGAATGAGATAGAAAAAGACTAAACTCTTATTTGCCTCACATTATTCTACACTCTTTAATTCCCACAATAGTGTCATGATGTAGGATTATGCAAATGAGGAAACTTGAGGATAAGCAACTTACCCAAGGTTATGGTATTAACAAGTAACGTAAGCAGCAAAACTGGAATCTGAACCTGGGCAGTGTGGCTAACAGAATCCATACTTTTTACTGTTATGCTATCCTTTCTCACACCTCTCCACCTACCTTGAAAACACAGGAGACTCAATACAAACTATTAGAAACTAGTAAGAGATCAAGAATACTGCTGCAGAAAAAAATGCAATATATAAAAATTGGTAACTGATAGTGCTATCTTCATAACAATTTAAAAATGTTACAGAAAAGGAGATGCCATTCCTGCTAGCAAGCAAAAGGGGCTCACTGCCCAATGCCCTAAGCCAATATTATGCACTGGGTTTTTGAGAAAAGCTTATTACAAGTGACTTAAAAGGAGACAGGAGTCCAGCTCAAATTGCTCTCTCTGTGCTGGTGGTTAAGGCAGTAATTTTATCCTTTAGGGGATGGATTCTGGGATTACTAGGTGATTGGTGTAAGAGGTCTGGAAAGTTCTTCGGCACGTGTAGTTATCTCTTTATGCCTCTTTATGGGTCATCCCATGTGCAAATCTGAAGATAGTATAAAATATGTGGTGGAATTTTAGGGTGTGACATCAACAAGCTTGCTGTGTATACTCTAGTTAGCCACATTGGTTTTAACTGATTGTAGACAGTTTTGTTATCTGTGGGAAGTAGAAAAGTTCCTTTTTAAAGTTTTCTTTCTTGTTAAAGAATAAGTGTGCTAATAATTTTGTTGAGCCCTATCCTATGAAGCTGTTAAGACATGCCATGCTTACAGGCACGTAGTACATTCTATGTCCTTGAACTTTAACCAAGATATCTGTGCTGGACGTGCTCACAGGCATTTCCCACCTCTCCATTGCTTTTACCTGTTTAGAAAAGTTTTAAGTTGTTAGCCAATCGGGTTTTAGTTTAGATTGTAAGGTCTGGCTCAGCCAAAGGAGATCAGTCACAGCAGTAACAACCCCAAATGCATAAGGAATACATTTGTGGGTATTCCTTATGTTCTTTGTACTCATTGCACAATGGCTTACTGGGAGTACCCTTCCTGCAGCCCAGGAAGTAAAAAATTGTGTTGCTGAAAGATCCTTTGTCTCAGTGATAATTTTTCTTTCCAGCACCGAGCATCTATTTCCAACTTTTCTTATCTGTCATCCTCCACACGCAAGAATTTTTGTACTCAATTTCTTTTTTAACTCCTTGGGGCATGGTTTCATTCCCAATAGAAAAAAACACTGTAAGGTGTTCTAACACAAACTAAAAAATTAAAAGCAGTTTTGATAAGCTAATGTTAAATAAAATTACAGTAAACAAAATGTCTATATTGTGATTGAATTTATGGAGAAACATTTATTTCTGGGTTGAAACTGAAAAAAATACACAAGAAGTACTATAGGCTGGGTGTGGTGGCTCATGCCTGTAATCCCAAGACTCTGGGGTGGTGGAGGCGGTGGGGTGGGTAGAGGCAGGTGGATCACTGGAGCCCAGGAGTTCCAGACCAGCCTGGGCAACATGATGACTACACGTCTCTACTAAACATACAAAAGGTTAGCTGGGTGTGGTGGTGCATGCCTGTAGTCCCAGCTACTTAGGAGGCTGAGGTAGACTGCTTGAGCCCAGGAGGTGGAGGATACAGTGAGTTGAGATCCTGCCCCTGCATTCCTGCCTGGGCAACAGTGTGAGTTCTTTTAAATTTTGTTACACTGAATGTTTCATTTTCAAGAGTATTCATTAAATCCTGTCCACAGAAAATACTAAGGTACCTCACCAATTTCTCCCCTCTCACCACATGAAGAGCAGATCCTTGGCAAGGCTGTTCTGACTCAGCTACAGTATCTTCAGATCTGCAAAGGACAAGGATGTAGAGCCAAATGGAAAGATATATGGCTCCAGCATTAACAGTACTGAATTCTTTGATAATTTTGAGAATAAAATGCTGATGGGAGTAAACAGTAACATCACATGAAAAGGAAAAAACTTTTAAAGATATAAAGTAATACCAATGTATTTTACTACAATTAAACAATAATACCAATAAATGTAGAGATACACCATGTTCATCCATCAAAAGACTAAGGAGAGGGAAATTCCAAGTCTTTTCAAATTATTCTATAAATTTAAGGTAATTCCAATGAAAATCTTAAGACTTACATATCAAATAAATCTGCAAAACAATATTAGACACAGAAACATATTTAGCAAAAATATAAAAACATAAAAAAGATATTGAATTCACATAATAGTTACCTGTAACAGAATATCTATGAAGCCTTAACTATGTCCACAATTTCTTTTCCTTTTCGTAAAATTTTTCTCTTTAAAAAATAAAATAAGGGATGGGCACAATGCCTCACATCTGTAATCCCAGCACTTTGGGAGGCCGAGGCGGGTGGATCACGAGGTCAAGAGATCGAGACCATCCTGGTCAACATGGTGAAACCCCATCTCTACTAAAAATACAAAAAAATCAGCTGGGCATGGTGGTGTGTGCCTGTAATCCCAGCTACTCAGGAGGCTGAGGCAGGGGAATTGCCTGAACCCAGGAGGCAGAAGTTGCAGTGAGCCGAGATCGCGCCATTGCACACTCCAGCTTGGTAACAAGAGCAAAACTCCGTCCCCCACCCAAAAAAAAAAAAAAAAAAAAAACAAGGTCAGGCCCAGCAGCTCACACCTGTAATCCCAATACTTTGGGATGCAAAGGCAGATGAACTGCTTGAGGCCGGAAGTTCAAGACCAGACTGGACAACATGGAGAAATCTTTTTTTTTTTGAGAAGTCTTCCTCTGTTGCCCAGGCTGGAGTGCAATGGTGTGATCTCGGCTCACTGCAACCTCCACCTCCTGGGTTTAAGCGATTCTTGAGTCTCAACCCCCCGAGTAGCTGGGATTATAGGGGCATGCCACCATACCCAGCTAATTTTTGTGTTTTTTAGTAGAGATGGGGTTTCACCATGTTGGCCAGGATGGTCTCGAACTCCTGACCTTATGATCCACCCAACTTGGCCTCCCAAAGTGCTGTTATAGGTGTGAGCCATCGCACCTGTCTGAGAAACCTTGTTTCTACCAAAAATACAAAAATTAGCCAGTCTCATAACCAGATCTCAAAATAAATATAAATTAGAAAAATATTTGAAGCAAATACGACAGTGTTAAGATTTGATAAGACTGGAAAATAAGTACAAGAATATTTTATCATGTTGTGGTCTTTTTTTTTTTGAGATGGACCCTCACTCTGTCACCAGGGTGGAGTGCAGTGGCGCGATCTTGGCTCACTGCAACCTCTACCCACCGGGTTCAAGCGATTCTCCTTCCTTAGCCTCTGAGTACCTGGGACTACAGGCGCTCGCCACCACACCCAGCTATTTTTTTTTTTTTTTTTTGTATTTTTAGTAGAGATGGGGTTTCACCATGTTGGCCTAGGATGGTCTTGATCTACTGACCTGGTGATCTGTCCACCTTGGCCTCCCAAAGTGCTGGGATTACAGGCATGAGCCACTGTGCCTGGCCTTTATCACGTTCTAATTTGGTCAGCATCTTTGAAATATTTCACAATAAAAAAGATTGTATCATTCTAAGACTTTACAAACCATTTATTTTGAAACAAGCCCTAATTATATGAAATTGAGAAGAACAGCTCTAGGGCCAATATTATTACACTATTTCAGGGCCTCGCAATTACACCCTAATGGATTTTATTCTTGTTGTGGATTAAATTATTAAATATTTTTGGGGTGCCTACTATATTTAAGGTATTCTGGTAGAATATGAAAGAAAAATATAAGAACTGAATCGTTACTTTCAAAGACTGCATAATCTAGATGGTAAAGTAAACACTCCCATTAACTTTCAAAAACAATGAACAGATGTTTGTGGTCCCAGGGTAACTTCCCACCTTTCTGACCCTCCTATTTTTCTGCATATTATTTATTCTCTTCCTGTACAAAAATATCTGTGTTATATTTTGTTCCTGCCTAATATTTGTGGTTAATGTAAAATTAACATTAGCATCAACATTTGTAATAATTTAGAAAAAAAGTGTTTGTAATCATAATTCTTACACAGAAATTTCTTTTTGATGGATAAATTGGGACTGTATTTTAGTGATGTTCACTAAATATCAGTACCAGTTCCAGTTAAAAATGAAACAAAATTCTGCAATATATTTTAACCCATGTGAAATGAACTCTGTTAACTTATCCAAGCTGTCAGCTTTAAGAGCTCTATCCCTATGCCCACCAAAACCTCTGTCTTGAAATGAATACATGTTAAGAACATACTGGTCTTCATTTATTTATATAAACCAGTTATATATTTTTTCTTTCCCCAATTTATAAATGCCTAGCAGTTATAAAATCAGATGGCCACAAAGTTACACAAAAACAAACTATAATTAGCTTTAAAATTTTATTGAAATTCAATTTTAGAATTTAACAATTTAATACAATTATTACACTGAATACTTTCTAACCAGCATTTTCGCCTGCTTTACATAATTTCTAGGCTTAACTTTTAAGAACTGCTATTTTCTCGCTAATTTTCCATGATATGCCAATTACACATTCATTAAAATTTCAGATACTATCTGAATTATTCTTATCTCAATGTCAGAATTTAAAAATAAGTTCAAATACTGAAAATCTAAGACATTAACACTAGGGTCCTTGTAATATAAAGAAAAAAAATCGTACAATCTTAACTGTTTAAAACTCTTGTTAACATTTACTGCAGTAACAGAATATGAATTTTTAACATAACCATATGAATTTCTCAAGTATTTCCTACTGATGCATGTCTGAAGTTATAAAAATCTCTCTTTTAAAGGAATTTATACTGAATTACTCCAAAAATAACAGTGATACTTTCGGGTCTTGCAAATTCGTTCTAGTGCATATTTTAAGTACCTAAAGTACAGCCTGTGCAATAGCAGGTTACTGGAAAGAGTTAAGTGTGGCTTTCTTTCTTTTTTTGAGGCAGGGTCACGCTCTGTCATCCACACTGGAGTTCACTGGCAAAGTGTGGCTTTAAGGAGTGAGTCGTTTGGGATCACGAGGGAACATGGAGGTCTGACGAACATTATGCAATCCCAGAAACAGCATAGTAACTCGTTCCAACCCTGGGAAGACAAAAATAATCATTAATTTCTTTTTTAAAATCTCTCAGGGTCTTACTAAGAACTACTAACATAAATATAATTGTTAAAGTAAATATTTTTCCCTCTTAGGAAAGAGAATGACTCCTATTATTTTGGGTTTATTGAAAATTGTTTTGAGCATTGATTCAGAAATAAAGATGCTGCTATAAATGAAAAGGACTAAGTAATATATCCTTAAGTGGTATGGAGTCTAAAAGGTGAACCACAAAAATCTATACAAATGAACAAAATCTATGATTTAAACAATAAGAAAAAACAGAAGACTTTATAAGCCTGAACGTTTCAAATGATACCAGACTCTTGATTATATAGTCTAGGCAATGAGGATGAGAGCCATAAACTTGCTTAAGCAAGTACTAGAAAATTTACTGTAATTCTATAGACATTTAACATGGTGGCCCCTACCATAAAAAGCTCTGGAGTACATTATTAAACTAAGTGTTTTGACTGTAAAAAAGAAACTGATTTTGGCATGTGGCTTAAATACTGTATTACTGAAAAAAATTAAGACCAAGTACCACCTAAGAAGCAGAGCAGAACTAGCAAATGACACTTGTATGCATATTATCTATTTCACTAAAGTTTTACAAGACTAACATATCACACAAAGAAAGGCCAAATATATAGTAATTACTTATAATTTTGAATTTTTAAAGGACTATTGTAAATACAGATAAGAGAACTTTTTATTTGGAGACAAAGTCTCCCTCTGTTGCCCAGGCTGGAGTAGAGTGATGTGATCTCTGCTCAATGCAACCTCCACCTTCTGGGGTCAACAGAGTGCCCGCTGCCATGCCTGGCTAATTTTTGTTATTTTTAGTAGAGATGCAGTTTCACCATGTTGGCCAGGCCGGTCTTGATCTCCTGACCTTAAGAGATCCACCTGCCTTGGCCTCCCATGGGATTACAGGAGTGAGCCACTGAGCCCAGCTGATAATATTTTTATTGCTATTATTTACCAATAGCAGATGGAAATCTGAGCCTTGTATTATGGTGATATAAGAATAATCTTAAAAAACTCCACCATATCCTAAATTTCTCTCAAAATATAATTATCAAAAAACAACTGATTTTGTTAACCACTCAAGTTTCCCTCTTCATAATTAAGGTTAAAATTTTACATTATCAGTCACAGAAATCTGTAAAATATTTATGCAAAATAAACATTACTGATTAAGAGGAAACAGTCCTAAATTTTTCATTAAAACTAAAACTATATATTCTGGCTGGGTGCAGTGGCTCACATCTGTGGTCCGGGGACTTTCAGAGGCTGAAGCAGGAGGACTGCTTGAGCTCACTCTCTTGTCCAGGCTGGAGCACAGTGGAGAGATTTCAGCTCACTGAAACCTCTGCTTCCTGGGCTCAAGCAATTCTCCTGCCTCAGCCTCCTGAGTAGCTGGAATTACAGGCATGCACCACTACACCCGGCTAATTTTTATATTTTTAGAAGAGATGACATTTTGCCATGTTGGACAGGCCGGTCTCGAACTCCTGACTTCAGGTGATCTGACCACCTCGGCCTCTATTTATTTTTAAAAGAAAAAGAAAAAAAAAAAAACCCAAACACTACTATATATTCAATGTAGTAGTACAGTTTGTAGTAACAAAAGGCTGGTAACAACCTACAAGTCCATCAATAGAAAGGTGGTTAACAAGATTATGGTTCCTCCTTTTAATGGATTCTATGTAGAGATGTAAAAAGAATAAAAAAGCTCTTTAGGTATTGATAAGAAACAAGCTAAAAGATACACTGAAGTATTTCTTCTCTATCTGGGCTCATATTTTAAAAAAGATACATTAAGTAAAAAATGCAATGTACTAAATGGTTTATATATAATAGCATGCTATAATTTATAATGTGTGTCTATGTGTCTTTTCATATATGCAAAGATATCTTTGCAAAGGTAACTGAAAACTAGAAACAATGGTTTCTTGTAGGGAGGCAAATATATATACTATTCTCCTTTTCCTGTTCCAATTTAAAAAACAGTGTTAAAATACATATAACATACAATTTACCATCTGAACCATTTTTAAGTATACAGTTTACTAGTACCAAATACATTCACAGTGTTGTGCAACCATCACTATCATTCATCTCTATAACTCTTTAAAAAAAAAAATCATGTTTATATTCCTTTGGATATATACCCAGTAATGGGATTGCTTGTTCAAATGGTATTTCTGGTTCTAAATCTTTGAGGAATCGCCATACTGTCTTTCACAACGGTTGACATTTACATTACTACCAAGAGTGTAAAAGCATTCCTATTTCTCTGCAACCCTGTCAGCATCTGTTGTTTTTCCACTTTTTAAGAATTGCCATTCTGACTGGTGTGAGATGGTATCTCATTGATTTGCATTTCTCTAATGATCAGTGACATTGAGCTTTTCTTCCTATGTTTGTTGGCTGCATAAATAAATGTTTTCTTTTGAGAAGTGTCTGTTCATGTCCTTTGCCCACTTTTTAATGGAACTGTTTGTTTTGCTTTTTTTTTTTTTTTTTTTGAGATGGAGTTTCGCTCTTGTTACCCAGGCTGGAGTGCAATGGCGCGATCTCGGCTCACCGCAACCTCCGCCTCCTGGGTTCAGGCAATTCTCCTACCTCAGCCTCCTGAGTATCTCGGATTACAGGCATGTGCCACCATGCCCAGCTAATTTTTTGTATTTTTAGTAGAGACGGGGTTTCACTATGTTGACCAGGATGGTCTCGATCTCTCGACCTCGTGATCCACCCACCTCGGCCTCCCAAAGTGCTGGGATTACAGGCTTGAGCCACCGTGCCCAGCCCTGTTTTGCTTTTTTCTTGTACATTTGTTTAAGTTCTTTGTGGATTCTGAATATTAATGATACATGCACGTGTATGTTCACTACAGCACTATTCACAATAGCAAAGACATGGAATCAACCCAAATGCCCACCAGTGATAGACTGGATAAAGAAAATGTAGTACATATATACCATGAAAATATTATGCAGTCATAAAAAGGAACAAGATCATGTCCTTTGTAGGGACATGGATGAAGCTGGAAGCCATTATTCTCAGCAAACTAATATGGGAACAGAAAACCAAACACTGTATATTCTCACTTGTAAGTGGGAGCTGAACAATGAGAAACATGGAGGGAAAGAACACACACTGGGGCCTGTCAGGGAGGGTGGGGTAGGGGAGAGCATTAGGGAAAAGAACAATGCATGCAGGAGTTAATACCTAGGTGATGGGTTGACAGATGCAGCAAGCCACCATGGCCCACATATATCTATGTAACAAACCTGCATATCCTGCACATGTATCCTGGAACTTAAAATTAAAAACAACAACAACAAAACCCATATACAATGACCTTAACTGGTGCTATTTATTTTTAAAGTTGTGCCCAGCTTTGAGTTATAATTGACAAAAATTGTACGTATTTACAGTGTACTATGTGACACTCTGATACACTGTGAAATGATTAAATCACGTTAATTAACATATCTATCATCTTGCATACCTATTTTTTATTTTTTATGGAAAGAACATTTAAAATCTACTTTTAGCAATTTTCAAGCATACATTACCTGTAGTCACCATGTTGTACAACTGAATCTGCAGAACTTATTCATTCTAACTGAATCTTTGTATCCATTGACCAACTTCTCCCCATTCCAACAACCATTCTACTCTTTGTCTATGGTTTCAACTTTTTTTTTTTTTTTTTTTTTTTTGAGACGGAGTTTCGCTCTTGTTACCCAGGCTGGAGTGCAATGGCTCGATCTCGGCTCACCGCAACCTCCGCCTCCTGGGTTCAGGCAATTCTCCTGCCTCGGCCTCCTGAGTAGCTGGGATGACAGGCACGCGCCACCATGCCCAGCTAATTTTTTGTATTTTTAGTAGAGACGGGGTTTCACCATGTTGACCAGGATGGTCTCGATCTCTCGACCTCGTGATCCACCCGCCTCGGCCTCCCAAAGTGCTGGGATTACAGGCTTGAGCCACCGCGCCCGGCGGTTTCAACTTTTAAAAGGTACCATATATATATGAGATCACGTAGTATTTGTCTTTCTGTGCCTTATTTGCTAATCTGTTCAGCATCATGTTCTCTAGATTTATCCGCATTGCTACAAATGACAGGATTTCCTTCTTTTTTAGGGCAGAGTATTGTTTCACTGTATAGATAAAACAGGTTCCATATTCCTAATATGAACATCCAAAATGCTGCAAAATCTGAGACTTTCTGAGTGCCAACATGATACTCAAAAACACAAATGAAAAGACTAAAAATGCTCATTGAAGCATTTCAGATTTCTAGATTTGCGATGTTCAACCAGTAAGCACAATGCAAATATAAAATCTGAAACAATCCAAAATCAGACATGCTTCTGGTCCCAAGCATTTTGGATAAGGACTATTCAATCTATACTACATTTTATTTATCCATTCATCCACTGATGGACACTAAGGTCATTTCTATATCTTGGCTATTGTAAATAACATTGCATTGAAGATGAGAGTGCACAAATCTCTTCAATATACTGATTTCATTTACCTTGGTATATAAAACCAGAAATGGGATTGCTGTATCATATGGCAATTCTATTTGTAATGTTTAGAACAATGTCCATACTGTTTTTCATAATGGCTGTACCAATTTTACATTCCCATCAACTGTTTACAAACAAGGATTCCCTTTTCTCCACATCCTCACCAACAATTATACATTATCATTTTGCTAATAGCCACAGGTGTGAAGTGGTTATCTCACTGAGGTTTTAATTTATATTCCCCTAATGTTTACTGATGGTGAGCATTTTTTCATATACCTATTGGCCATTTGTACGTGGGTTTTACATTTAGGCCTTTGATCCGTTTTGAGTTAATTTTTGTATATGATGTTAGGTAAGGGTCTAATTTCAATCTTTTGCAAATGTACATCAGTTTTCTCTTTACCATCTGTTGAAAAGACTGTCCTCCTACCAATTTCAATTTGAAAATTTTGTAAGTACATATTGTATTTTCCAAAAAACTCCCAAACAGCAAACAAAAACTTCAATAAAACTATACATTCAAAATTCTTTTTAAGAGTGTTTGGTATGGACATCCAAAGATGAGTTAAATATTTACTCATTTTAAATTGCAGAGCAGGCTGGGCTTGGTGGCTCATGCCTATAATCCCAGTACTTTGGGAGGCCAAGGTAGGCAGATCATCTGAGGTTGGGAGTTTGAGACCAGCCTGACCAACATGGAGAAACACCGTCTCTACTAAAAATACAAAATTAGTGGGGCATGATGGCACATGCCTGTAATCCCAGCTACTCAGGAGGCTGAGGCAGGAGGATCACTTGAACCCGGGATGCAGAGGTTGTGAGATCGCACCACTGCATGCCAGCCTGGGCAACAAGAGCGAAACTCCATTTCAAAAAAATATTGCAGAGCAGTCCCTTATACTGTAGAAGTGTTCTTTTTTTTTTTTTTTTTTTTTTTTTTGAGACGGAGTTTCGCTCTTGTTACCCAGGCTGGAGGGCAATGGCGCGATCTCGGCTCACCGCAACCTCCGCCTCCTGGGTTCAGGCAATTCTCCTGCCTCAGCCTCCTGAGTAGCTGGGATTACAGGCACGCGCCAACATGCCCAGCTAATGTTTTGTATTTTTAGTAGAGACGGGGTTTCACCATGTTGACCAGGATGGTCTCGATCTCTTGACCTCGTGATCCACCCGCCTCGGCCTCCCAAAGTGCTGGGATTACAGGCTTGAGCCACTGCGCCCGACCTAGAAGTGTTCTTAAAGCCAATGAAGTGCTGCATCTCAGTAAAAACACTTAGTAGCTATTTGAGCTATTTTAAGGTAGAGCTTTAATTTGGGTTAATGTGAATGAACTCACAGTAAAAGAGAGAAAACAGGATACCCCACTTACAAGACATTTGGCTTCTAAACTCTAAGAGAAAAAAATGGCTATAACTTTATGACAATAATATTTTAAAACACACAAGTTAGCTGTCCATTTTGTTTCTTGGAAATCAAATTTTCACTTGAGTTATAATTCACTTAAAAAAATTATTGTAATTGAAATTTGCATTATACGTAGAACTTATGAGCTTATTTGTAAGCAATAACAGAATATTACCAATGCCTCCGCCAGCATGAGGAGGAGCTCCAAAGCGGAAGGAATCAATGTAAGCCTTAATTTTCTCCAAATCTACAAAAAGACACAAAACAAAACAAAATATAATTTATCTTATTTATTTAAAAAAATCACAAAAGAAATTACTGTTCAATGTAGATTTTTAAAAGACCGAGAAGTCTTTTAAATGTTTACAATGTATTATTTTCAGACTATACACTCTCCTAAATTATTTTAAGTGTTTACCAATTCCATGATGTAAAGCTCTCTCTGTTAGCAGCTGAGGATCATGTATTCTTTGAGCTCCTGACAATATTTCTTCTCCTCTCATGAACATATCGTAAGAGTTGGACTGTTTCTGCAAGAGAAAAAAACACCACTCTTCAAGTGACTACTATCCTATTTCTACTATACATATACAGAAAAAAATCTCTGCTGCATGAAGAACAAGTTCATTTTTTCCTACAATTAACAATGCAACCTTGTTTTCTAAAGTAGAATTAAACTACTGAGGGCTGAATAATAACTTTTTCTTTGTTTATATCAGTGTTTGTGCTCTCCTCCCACACCCCCAATAACAAATCAGAGCACCACATCTAATTTTTAAGAAGCAGTGCTGATCCTTATTTTACTTTATCATCTGAGATGTTTTTAAGCATGATATGATTTTGGGGTGACTTTTGGAACTTCAAGTTATCAACAGGTGTGAGTCTTTAAATTATTATTTTTACTTTAATCCTGTCTTTCAATAAGCCAGTGGTTCTCAAAGTGTGATTCTGCAACCAGTAGCTTCAGTATTACCAGAAATTTGTTAGTTGGTCTGGAGTGAGGCCTGTAAATTATCAGGCTCCCACTCCAAAGCAACTAATGAGAAATTCTAGGTGGACCCTAGCAATCTGTTTTTTAAAAAGTCCTGCAGGAGATTCTGATGCACTGTAAGGTTTAGAAACCACTGCAATGGAAAAACAATAGATGACCATAAGACATTATTTAGATTAACTCCCAGGATACAATGTGAATTCCCAGTTTAAGGTCAATGATACGATGTTTTGCTGAAGTATGCAAATCTAGTAGTACTATTTATCATTTACATAGCTGTAGGATACAGTAAATTCCTCTTCAGAGCTTTAGCTTGTTAACTTCCTTGTTCTTTGTTCTCAAACTCAACTTCCTTGTTCTCCATCCCTCCTTGTCCCTAGTTACTATAAACAACTTTCCAGCCAGTTCTAATAAAAGACTCACATCTGTTCCCTCGGTTACCTGTACCCATTCCTCCCTCTGGAACCTCATGTCTCACCACTGTAACTCACATCCCCCTTCCCTTCCTTATTTGGGGAAATATTCACAAATAGCCAATCAGGTCAGTTTAGATTGTGCAGTCTGACCCCAGCTCATGGGTGAGTGACAGAGAGGTAGGAGCTGCGTTAGAGATAAAAACCTGTTTCCTCCTTTGTCCAGGGTGCTTTTGTGATCATGATTTACTCAGGTAGTACCCTTCTGCAGAAGTAAATTGCCTTGCTGTGAAAACTTTTGCCTGAGTGCTAGTTTCACTTTGCGGTACCAAGCACGTTTCCAACATAGCCTTTCTTCTTCATAAATCTTCAGACAAATGACCAAGGAAAATGATTTTAACATAGGTTTTTAAAACTAATTTGCCAGAATATTCCTATTATTCCCATTATATAATCTGACATAGTGACAATAAAATTTCCCTTCTCCAAAATACGTTATTTAAAACCAAATTACTTACAGGATTTCTTGGGTCAGGCATGGTATAGAAAGGTCTTACAGCCAATGGATATTTATCAAGAATATAAAAATCTGTATCATACTATAAAAAGAATAAATGCAATTAAAACACATTTTTAAAAAGTAAGATGGCTAACATTTTGGTAATTACCTTTTTTATGCAAAAATTTTTGTTCTTCAAATTTACTCTATTATATTGTATACACAATGAATATCTTGCTTTTTTTTCCAAGTAACATTTTTATCCTATAGCATTTTGCCATGGTATCATAAATTCTTCCGATATCTAATTTTTAGGCACTGCTCCATCATAGTTTTATTTCATTTTATTTTTTTAAAGAGACAGGGTCTTGCTCTGTTGCTAAGGCTGGAGGGCAGTGGTGCAATTATGGCTTAAGCAGGAGCCTGGCTAATCTTTAAAATTTTTTGTAGATATGGAAGCTTGCTATGTTTGCCCAGGCTGGTCTTGAACTCCTGGCCTCAAGTGATCTCCTACCTCGGCCTTCCAAAGTGCTAGAATTACAGGCATGAGGGACTGTGCCAGGCCTATGATTTAAATATTCATTATGATGCATTTTATAATTAAAATAATTGTCTGAAATCCTTTTGGTTTTTACAGAAACTATATTATGTCTATGAATTATTTTGGGAAAATTTGATGTATTTTACAATATTAATCACGGAAAACCTAGATTATTTTCCCAACAATTTAGATTTTGGTAGTTTTCTTCAAATGAATGCTACAACTGAAAGAAATAAATGACATTAACATGAATTACAACACTTGTTTGTAAAGAATGCTTACTATGTGATCTAGATTAAAAAGACATAAATTACATTTCAACAGTTTTTGACTTTCAATATTTTTGCTAAAACTTGAGATGAGGATGTTAACAGTTGACAAACTGGAATTAGCTCCGCTGAAACAGCATTTTCAAGGTCTAAACTTAAAATGGTTTCAGAAATACCAGTTTATTCTAGTCAGTTTAACAGTTTCAAGTGCAACCAGCAGGAGGAGCTCAAGGACTTTTTCCTTCACATTATACCATTATCTTAAAATTTTTAAAAAGATCATACTAAGTTTAGCTTTTATCCTTTTTGGAGTCTTGATGAGATTGGAAAGTAGCTATTACATATGAGGCAGAGAGGACGCTCATTCATCTTAAAGTATCATGAGACAACAGGGTACACAGGAAAGATCATTTCTTTTTTTTTTTTTTTTGAGATGGAGTTTCATTCTTGTTACCCAGGCTGGAGTGCAATGGCGCAATCTCGGCTCACTGTGACCTCCGCCTCCTGAGTTTAGGCAATTCTCCTGCCTCAGCCTCCTGAGTAACTGGGATTACAGGCACGCGCCACCATGCCCAGCTGATTTTTTATATTTTTAGTAGAGACAGGGTTTCACCATGTTGACCAGGATGGTCTCGATCTGTTGACCTCGTGATCTACCCGCCTCGGCCTCCCAAAGTGCTGGGATTACAGGCGTGAGCCACCGTGCCTGGCCCAGGAAAGATCATTTCTAAATAATCTCAAATAATTTGGAGGTAATTTCTAACTAATTTGACATAGGCATCACTTTTAGAGACACTTCAGAACAACTTTGTAGAAATATGAAATACTGAGTTAATCAAATCATCTGGGAGAAAGGCAGACTGTCTGAATATTTTTTTCTAAGAAAATTTTTTTTTAACATTGTCCCTCTTAGTTTTTATTTATTCCAGAATCATACTCTTCTAGGTAGCTCAATCCCCTCTGCAATTGTTCTTTAGTTTCAAGAGACATTTCAGAATTAGAGAAAGAAATCCGGCATAAACAAGAGTCCTACCTTTTCCTTTACCAAATGACCCAACAGCTTTTCATTTGGTGTACTGAAAAAGAAAAGTGAAATCAGTGTTTGAAGATCAAACGGCAACTTATAAACGTTAATAAGGAACTTCTTCTATTTGAGTTTCTCAAGTGATTACAAAATTTGTCCAAAACATGCAGTTGTCTATTCTGCTCTTTTCTTAAAAGGCAAGTACTACTGAGAATCACTTATGAGTATATCTTGGTACAGTGACTTAGTGCTTAGTAGATTTTTCTCAAATATTTAATTAAAGCCATAAACAGAATTTAGCAATTCATTGATTCAGAAATATCACAGATGAAATAATTTCCTATAATTACACATAATAAAAGTTTGCTATACCAATATGGGCTAGTCTTGACATGAAATGGTCTTCCATTTTTGGCACTCTTTATCAATGGTTTATGAAATAAAAATTAGTATTATCCAAGGTTTTAAAATAGTGTTTATACAAACGTTACATTTTTATAGTGAAGAGGTAGCTACTTTAGCTTCTATCTTACGTATGAACAGTTACTAAAATACTTGAAAAAATACTACTCAAGCTTATAGGATTTTTATTGTGCCTTAAAATGTCATCTAGCAATGCAGGCAATGTTTAAAGCATTTTTGTTGTTGTTGTTGTTAAACAAAAATAAATGGTTTGGGGTATTTTTTTGAAAAACCCTAAAAAGTGACAATAGTCCTTTTCCTCCTAAATACATATGTATTGTAATGGTTTAAAGGAATCATTCAAGGAAGGCTTGAATAAAATATAAGTAGATAGAAATGTTCAAACTTTACATGTTTTATTTATTTATTTTTTACAGAGAGGGTTTCACTCTGTCACCCAGGCTGGAGTATAGCGGCATGATCATGGGTTACTAGAGCCTTGATACTCCTGGGCATAAGTGATCCAACAGCCTCAGTCTCCAGACTAGTTGGAACTACAGGTGTGTGCCACCATGTTCAGCTAAATTTTAATTTTTTTTTGTAGAGACAGAATCTCTGTGTTGTCCAGGCTGGTCCTGAAATCCTGGCCTCAAATGATCCTCCTGCTTCAGCCTCTCAAAGTACTGGGATTACAGGAGTAAGCCACCACACCCAGCCTCAATCTTTATTAAACTACATAATTTGTTTCAAAATCTAAGTTGTATGATCTGAATTCAGGTAATACTATATATAATATAGTACATATGATACTATATAAGCAATATTGACATTTATAACTTTTGGAGATGTTAACAGTTTATACCCCGATCCCAGGTGGGGATAGATTTAGACTGCTGTCTACCCTCTCTAATACCATTAATCTGGAAAGAGAAGTAACATATTAGAAGATAAAATCACAGGCAAAATTCACAGGCAAAATTCCCTATACTCTTTAAAGAGTTACAAACATGAGGGGAAAAGAATGAAAAATGGTGTTTTAAACAAAATTGTGAAAACTCAGGCAAACTATAGTAAACATCTTTATTTCAGATCACACATTATATAAAACAGCATCATACTGTATACTAAGTTAATAAAATTTAAGCGTATCAGGGAAAAAATCATTTATTAATACTTTCATTCTCTCTTACCTTAAACCAAATTACTAAGGTTTTAAAAATCACAAAGACAACTTAGAGGATGAGTCAACAGGTGCGGCAAACCACCATGGCACATGTATGCCTATGTAACAAACTTGTATGTTCTGCACATGTATCCTGGAACTTAAAGTTAAAAAAAAAAATCACAAAGACAAACCTCAGATCGTCTTCATCCCCCATTTCGACTCCAGCTTCCCTAAGCATAGCCAATGCTTCACAATATTCTAGTCTTAGAGTTGGCTCCAAAAATTTGAATGGCTCACATGGGAACTGCTTATTCACCGTTTGAATTTCAGTCTGAAACCTATTTGCAGAATGATTTGGAGTTAATAAAATGTATGAGATAAATGTTTCTCCCACAAGAGGTCACTGTGGCAATATATAAAATCAATTTTTGAATCTGTATATATACAAGGAAAAGCATTAACAAATTATTAAAGAATGAAATTTAAATACTTAAAATATTTAACAACATTTTTCAATCTCATGTTTTTGTAACCACAGTAACATCAAAGGATTAAAAATTTTCTTTATAACTTATATCAGTTAATATGGTTAGAAACATAAAATGCCCATTTAATGAAACATTACAAAAATCTGACTTTTTAATCCTTTAACAATTCTTGTTATCATGGAAGAAGACCAAATTAAGGAATATTTCTTATCTTCCCCCATCTGTATTACACTGCATGTTCAGGAGAGTGCCAATTTCTTTCACATTTTGATAATCTCTATAGTACATGCCTACCCTATATATATATAATATTATATATATATATATTATATAATATTTTATATATATATATAATTATATATATATAATATATATATTATATATATATATATATATATATAGAAGGTACAAAACAATGTTTACTGCACTGAGTTGAATTTCTGCTATGGAAGATGATATTTTATTGAGATTTAAAAAGTCTATTTTTGGCCAGATGCAGTGGCTCATGTTTGTAATCCCAGGACTTTGGGAGGCGGAGTGGGGTGGATCACCTGAGGTCAGGAGTTTGAGACTAGCCTGGCCAGCATGGCGAAACCCCGTCTCTACTAAAACTACAAAAATTGTTTGGGCATAGTCGGGACGCTGAGGCAGGAGAGTCGCTTGAATGGGAGGCGGAGGTTGCAGCGAGCTGAGATCACGCCACTGCACTTCAGCTTGGGCAACAGAGTGAGGCTCTGTCTCAAAAAAAAAAAAAGAATATATATATATATATATATATATATATATATATTTTTTTTTTTTTGCTGGAGTATTTATGGATTCAATGATGGCTGGGATTTGCTTCAAAATAATAGGGAATGAGGGAAATGAGTAAAACAAAATTGGCCACAGTCGACAATAATTGAGATTGGTTGAGTTCATGGGGGATCATTAGGTTACTGTACATCCTTTTGTACGTGTTTGAAATTTTTCCATCATTAACAGACTTGAAAAAAGTATGTTTATATTCTATATGCAGAAAAAAGGATGTTTGTATTTTATATATAGAATTCTTTAACTAGAATTTACATTCTATTTTTTTAAATTTCTAAGACAGGGTCCCGCTCTGTTGCTCAGGCTGGAGTGCAGTGGTACAATCTTGGCTCACCACAACCTCGGCCTTCTGGCCTCCCACCTCAAGCCTCCCAAGTAGCTGGGACTAAACGCATGTGCCACTACGCCTGGCTAATTTCTTTATTACTTTTTGTAGAGATAGGGTTTCACCATGTTGCCCAGGCAGTTCTCAAACTTCTGGGCTCAAGCAATGTGCCCACCTTGACCTTCCAAAGTGTGAGGATTACAGATGTGCATCACACCCAGCCTAGAATTTATATTCTTGAAATTAAAACACTATCATTTCTTGGCTGGTCTTACAGGCTTCCAGGGGAATAATAAAGCTTAGCCATTGATTTATTCAAATCTTGATGTAAGAAGACCCTATAACTGATTTTTAAATGGCCTTTCTTTGTTTATATATCAACTCCCATTCATCATATGTTTATCAATGGTAGACATAACTAAAAATATGACTATCAATACTTTAAAATACATTTATACATGTACTTTATACACATATATATTTGGATATATATAATACATGTATGTACAATATAATACATACGCATTTGTATATGTATTTTTCTGAGAGGTAAATACTAATGATAAACATGAGAGGAACATGACACAAGCCAGATAACCTAATAAACAAGTGACACCAAAACTTAAAATTTTTAAATGACCTAAAGAACATACAAAGAAGGCTTTTATTTTCAAATTGCCACCTTAACTCTACTGAGAAAGTTCAGCAGTAATGGCATCTGAGTCTAATATATAAGTAGAGATTTGATTAATCCCAAGGACCAAAATTCATGCTTGGTCTGTTGTTATAAAAATCAAAGTGGAAATGTGAAACTCTATTATTTAATAGAGAAGGTATCAGTATTTTAAAAAAATGAATTTCTGCAACTTTCTTGAATTATGAATGTGAACAGAAAATGAGAAAAGCTTTGTGTGTTCCTTCATTGCAGTTCTATAGTATATTTTGTCTTATAAGGAAAATATTATCAGTTTTTCCATGAACCATTGAAAATTGATTAAAATAAACTATATCAAAATGTTTTAGGTAACAAAGATTTTTTAAAAAGGCTGCCTGCAATTAACTAGCCATCAAAGGTACAAAGCTGCAGAGAATGCCTGGAAATATTGGTACTCATGCTACAGTATTGTTTTTTTTTTTTTTTTTGAGATGGAGTTTCACTCTTGTTACTCAGGCTGGAGTGCAATGGCGCGATCTCGGCTCACCGCAACATCCGCCTCCTGGGTTCAGGCAATTCTCCTGCCTCAGCCTCCTGAGTAGCTCGGATTACAGGCACATGCCGCCACGCCCAGCTAATTTTTTGTATTTTTAGTAGAAACGGGGTTTCACCATGTTGACCAGGATGGTCTCGATCTCTTGACCTCGTGATCCACCTGCCTCGGCCTCCCAAAGTGCTGGGATTACAGGCTTGAGCCACCGCGCCAGGCCGCTACAGTATTGTTAAATAAGTTTAGTGATTAATTTCCACATTCTTTTTTTTATATTTTTTGAGATGGAATCTTGCTCTGTTGTCCAGGTTGGAGTGCAGTGGTGTGATCTCTGCTCACTGCAACCTCTGCCTCTTGGGTTCAAGCAATTCCCCTGCCTCAGCCTCCTTCTGGTACTACAGGTGCATGCTGCCACATCCGGCTAATTTTTGTATTTTTAATAGAGACGGGGTTTTGCTATGTTGGCCAGGTTGGTCTTGAACTTCTGACCTCAAGTGATCCACCTGCCTTGGCCTCCCAAAGTGCTGGGATTATAGGTATGAGCCACCACACCCAGCCAATTTCTGCATTCTTAAACATACTCATTAACCTTGCAATGCAGTAAATAAAATTCACATTTTTGAACTCTTTTAAAATACCAATGAAACATCAAACACATCAACAAGGAATAGTAAAATTGCAGTCTTCAAATAAAATGTTAAATATGATCCTTTTTCAGTTATTAAAATGCTAGCTTAGTCTATTGTAGCTTACCTAATACTTGAAATATAGTCACAAATATAGAAAGAGAAAAAATAGACTTTCTTTTTTTTTTTTTTTTTTTTTTTTTTTTTGAGACGGAGTTTCGCTCTTGTTACCCAGGCTGGAGTGCAATGGTGCGATCTCGGCTCACCGCAACCTCCGCCTCCTGGGTTCAAGCAATTCTCCTGCCTCAGCCTCCTGAGTAGCTGGGACTACAGGCGTGCACCACCATGCCCAGCTAATTTTTTTTGTATTTTTAGTAGAGACAGGGTTTCACCATGTTGATCAGGATGGTCTCGATTTCTTTTTTTTCTTTCTTTCTTTTTTTTTTTAGATGGAGTTTTGCTCTTGTTACCCAGGCTGGAGTACAATGGCACGATCTCAGCTCACTGCAACCTCTGCCTCCTGGGTTCAGGCAATTCTCCTACCTCAGCCTCCTGAGTATCTCGGATTACAGGCATGTGCCACCATGCCCAGCTACTTTATTGTATTTTTAGTAGAGACGGGGTTTCACCATGTTGACTAGGATGGTCTCAATCTCTTGACCTCGTGATCCACCCGCCTCGGCCTCCCAAAGTGCTGGGATTATAGGCGTAAGCCACTGTGCCCGGCCAAAATAGACTTTCTTAATCAGCGTAACTTGCTTCTATTTTGTTTTCCTATTTTCTCCACGTTAAACATCATCATAAGTAAACAACTTTCAATGACCTTTAAAGGGAAGAGCTATTTGCCAGTTTAGAGGGTGTAGCTGAAGTGGACATTCTACATAATTCAATTTTCTGAACATCTAGAACACATCTAATAGTTCTGTAAACGTTAATTCATCAGATCCAAACAGGTTTAAACATCTTTTCAGTCTACTGGTTTTTTTTTTTTTTGAGATGGAGTTTCGCTCTTGTTACCCAGGCTGGAGTGCAATGGCACGATCTTGGCTCACCGCAACCTCCACCTCCTGGGTTCAGGCAAGTCTCCTGCCTCAGCCTCCCAAGTAGCTGGGATTACAGGCACGCGCCACCATGCACAGCTAATTTTTGTATTTTTAGTAGAGACGGGGTTTCACCATGTTGACCAGGATGGTCTCGACCTCTTGACCTTGTGATCTGCCCGCCTCGGCCTCCCAAAGTGCTGGGATTACAGGCTTGAGCCACGGCGCCTGGCCTGGTTTTTAATCTTTACTGAGCACTCAATGTAAATATAAATGGATTCAAGAATTAACTATATTTGACACAGGCTTAATTTACATATTGACAGATTCAGTTGACTGAAGGAACTTTTTTATCTCTATGGTGGGTAATAATACTATTTCCACTTAATGGCTAAGGAAACTAAGGCACAGGGTTAAATAACCTGCACAAGATCCACACAGAAAAGCAGCGGTGCTGGGATTTGAACTCAGGCTATCAGGATGTTGCTGAATCCAACCTCTTAAGCATTACCCTCATACTTATTTCCCAAATAATAAACTGTTAAAAGTAACACTTTCTCTACTTCTTGAGACATTTGGGATGTCAGTGTAAAGGAAAAAACAACACAAAAAAATACAGTTGGAATGTTCACAATGTTCTAAATTTACCAGGAAAATAGAAGTTAGCTGCAGCCCCAAATGATTTGGATCCAGAAGCAGTATTTTGAGTGTGGATTTTTCCAACCAATTAAATGGATCATCTAACTGGCAAATCTTTATATATATGTCCATAGAAACTTAGTTTACATGTTTAAATTGAAGAATTTTTTTAAAAGAGCCCAAACTGATTTGAAATCAAGTCTGTCTAGGTATATAAAATACTTTTTACCTTTCTTGAAGCCCTTTAAATATTTGTACCATGGTGTCAGCAATTTCTTCCATAACTTCATGGTAATGGTAATTAAAAGCCATTTCAATGTCCAAACCAACAAACTCAGTTAGATGTCTATGGGTATTAGAGTCTTCTGCTCTGAATACTGTGAAGTTAATAAAAGAAATAAACAGCAAATACTGTTTTCAATTTTGGATAAATTGGGATTTAAATACAAAATTTTATTTAGGATTCCAGTGGTATTATTTTCATATTACAGGGCTGGAAGGATCTCTGATAAACCATCTGTTTGCACATTCTCTTGGACAGCAAGTTCATTACAAACTCCTACAGTTCATGCAATAAAAGCCACACCAAATGTAAATTAACAAGAGAGGTTCATGAGAACCCTGGGAGAATGCAAGATCCTGTATCTTCTCAGTATTTAAAAATATATTCAATTATGACCAAGATAGTGAGTTCTTCTCAATTTTATTAAAACTTGACTCAAATTAAGTCAAACTCTACAAATAAAGTAACATACAATATTTCATTTGACTACAGTAGTCATTTATAGGAATATTAGTGATGTGAAAGATGAGTTGAGCTAGAGTCAGGAAGGCTGGACAGCATGAAAAGGCACTGAGGATTTTAAGAGACATTAGCTCAGTCCAGCTCTTAATATCTTCAGTGTCTTTTCCTCCCGTTCAATCTTCCTGACTGTAGCTCAAACCATCTTTCACATCACTAATAATATTCTTATAACACATCCTTGCTCAGAAACTTACAATGGTTCCCAAATGACTACTGTAGCAAGACATAAAATGACAAAAAAACCCCTAAGACCATTATGCTTTCATAATTTAATCCTAACCTATATTTCTCACTTCTTAAAACTAACTTGTCTTATTTTTGTTTTCTTGTGTAGTCCCTGCTCTTTACTTACTCTTCTTCCTGCCTAGAATGCCATCTCTGTTGTCTATATATATTACTCTGTCTTTGAAGCACATTTCAGTTTGAATTGTCTTTTATGGTGACTCTAACAAACTGTTTTCTCTCTTTTTACACTTTACTACTTATACTATATGTTAACATCAACTTGCTGAGTGTACAGACAATCTGACTATTTGTTGTGAAAATTATTTGATTATTTCCTATGACTGTGATATGTATGCATGTCTTACTCAGTCTTGGGAGCAGGCACAATGTTGATTTCTTTGTCACTCACAGCATGGGCTGCAAATGAACAGCATCAATACCCAAACTACAGAATTTCAGGCCTCCCCCAAGATTTACTGATCAGAATATGCATTTTTTTTTTTTTTTGAGATGGAATCTCGCTCTGTCACCCAGGCTGGAGTGCAGTGGTGCAATCTCAGCTCATGGCAATCTCTACCTCCTGGGTTCGTGCAATTCTCCTGCCTCAGCCTCCTGAGTAGCTGGGACGACAGGCACATGCCACCATGCCTGGCTAATTTTTTATATTTTAGTTAGAGATGGGGTTTCACCGTTTGCCCAGGCTGGTCTCAAACTCCTGAGCTCAGGCGATCCGCCTGCCTCGGCCTCCCAAGGTGCTGGGATTACAGGCGTGAGCCACCGAGCCCAGTCTCAGAATTTGCATTTTAACAAGATCTCCAGGTAATCTGCGTGCATATTAACATTTGAGAAGTGCTGGCTGATTCTTCTTTTATGTACGTGGTACCTAGCACAAGGTTATATATGTAGGAGGTGTTCAACAACTTGTTAATAAATTCAGAAAATTAAGACCCTTAATGATCCTGCCAGTTTCTCTATTAGCAAGTATTTAATTTTTATTAAGCTATCAAAAACATATATAAAATAACTTGGTAAGTTTTAAAGAATAAAGTAATTAAAGAATAAAGTAAAGCTGCCTTTTCACTTCTAATTAGCTTAAAAAAGAAGCTGCCACATGATCATGTGCCTGTGCTTGACTTTTAGCCAACATTTCTTAAAAACCATATTATTATAAATTTATTACAAATTAATATAATTTATTAAATATTAGATATTTGTTAGTTTCTAATGGACATCAGCATATTACCGATAGAACAGTACAAACAAAATAGTTTAACAGAATGGCTCTGGAATAAAATTGGTAGCAAATTAGACAGAGGTACAAGAGTAAGAAGTTATAAATGACAACATATATTACTTTGACCACTGCAACTACCTGTTCTTTAGTGTTGATGGGGAGCTGAAAAGAGTCCAAATGGGAGCTAATTTTTTTCTAACTGCACTCAGGTTTATTAAAATATATACTTAGGTATATTTCAGATGATGTATATTTTCAAAAAATGTATTTTCAGGACTTCTTCAAGGAGAACTACAAACCACTACTCAAGAAAATAAGAGAAGACACAGATGGAAAAACATTCCATGCTCATGGTTAGGAAGAATTAATATTGTAAAAATGGCCATACTACCCAAAGTAATTTGTATATTTAATGCTATCCTCTTCCAACTACCAATGACCTTCTTCATAGAACTGGAAAAAACCACTTTAAACTTCATATGGAACCAAAAAAGACCCCGCATAGCCAAGACAATCCTAAGCAAAAAGAACAAATCTGGTGGCATCATGCTGCCAGACTTCAAGCTATACAATAAGGCAACAGTAATGTACTGGTATCAAAACATAGACATAGACCAATGGAACTGAACAGAGGCCTCTGGAGCAACACCACACATCTACAATCATTTGATCTTTGACAAACCTGACAAAAACAAGCAATGGGGAAAGGATCCCCTGTTTAATAAATGGTGTTGGGAAAATTGGCTAGCAGCATGCAGAAAGCAGAAACTGGACCCCTTCCTGATACCTTATGCTAAAATTAACTCCAGATGGATTAAGGATTAAAATTAACTCTACATGGATTTAAACATAAGACGTAATGCCATAAAAACCCTAGAAGAAAACCTAGGCAAAACCATTCAAGACATAGGCATACGCACAGGCTCCATGACTAAAACACCAAAAGCAATGGCAACAAAAGCCAAAATAGACAAATGGGATCTAATTAAACTCCAGAGCTTCTGCCCAGCAAAAGAAACAATCATTAGAGCGAACCAGCAACCAACAGAATGGGAAAATATCTTTGCAATCTATCCATCTGACAAGGACTAATATCCAGAATCTACAAAGAACTGAAACAGAGGTACAAGAAAAAAACAAACAAATTCATCTAAAAGTGGGCAAAGGATATGAACAGACACTTTTCAAAAGAAGACATATAGAAGCCAACAAACATATGAAAAAATGCTCATCATCATTGGTCATCAGAGAAATGCAAATCAAAACCACATTAAGATACCATCTCATGCCAGTTAGAATGGCGATCGTTAAAAAATCTGGAGACAAATGATGTTGGAGAGGATGTGGAGAAGTGGGATCACTTTTACACTGTTGGTGGGGCTGTAAATTAGTTCAACTATTGTGGAAGACAGTCTGCTGATTCCTCAAGGATCTAGAAATAGAAATTCCATTTGACCCAGCAATCCCATTCCTGGGTATATACCCAAAAGACTATAAATCGTTCTATTATAAAGACACATGCACACTCATGTTCATCGCTGCACTGTTTACAATAGCAAAGACCTGGAACCAACACAAATGCCCATCAATGATAGATTGGACAAAGAAAATGTGGCACATATACACCATGGAATACTACGCAGACATAAAAAATGATGAGTTTGTGTCCTTTGTAGGGACATGGATAAACCTGGAAACCACCATTCTCAGCAAACTGACACAAGAACAGAAAACCAAACACTCCATCTTCTCACTCATAGGCAGGTGCTGAACAACAAGAACACTTGGATACAAAGAGGGATGCATCACACACTGGGGTCCATTGCTGGGGTGCTATGGGAGAGGTAGTGGGAGGGAGAGTGGGGGAGGAATAATGTGGGGAGAAATGTCAGGTATAGGTGATAGGGGTATGGTGGTAACAAACCACCTTGCCATGAATGTAATTATGCAACAATTTTGCATGATCTGCACATGTACCTCAGAATCTAAAGTACAATAAATAAAAAATTTTTAAAAATGACATATTCTCAAGATAAAAATTTTCTTCAGCATTCCTCTATAAGAATACATAATGCTTGTAATTGTATTCACATGAATGATGCTCAATTGTTTAAAGTACTACTGACTATACTTTTTTTTTTTTTTGGGGAAATGTCTACCAAATATATTGTCTTTTCTACCTCAAAGTGTAGCATTTGTATAGTCAGCAGATAAAATAATTTAGGGTTTCAAAGTGTCTGTACATTATATAAGTAAAATGTGTTTCTAAAATTGTAACTACTGTACAATTTATCCACTTGGATAAAACATAACTGTCAAAATCTTACCTGGTCCAATACAGAAAACCTTCTCAAAATCAGCACAGATGCACATTTGCTTATACAGTTGTGGGGACTGAGCCAGGTATGCATTATTTTTAAAATATGACACAGTAAAAACATTGGCTCCTCCTTCACTGGCAGCTGAAATGTAAACATTTATATTATAATCAATAGTAAGCTTATCAATACAAACTTCTAGTTAAAAAGTTTACGCTCAGGTAGTTCACTTTAAGAAAAACTGGAAAATGAAGAACTGTGGCTAAATCATAGTCTATATATGTCTTCTTACATGTGATTCTAAATAGTTTATATTTAAACCAGATTTACTTCTTTGGCTATGCTTTTATTTCGCTTCTTTGGATATATATGCTTCTTTTCTGCATCAATTTCAAAACCATTAATGCCACTCTGGAGTTGTAAAATTTAAAAAAAAATGAAAAAAGATATTTTTCATCATTTTTCCTTTTTTAAAAAACTTTCCCAGGGAGCTGGAATAATCATTTTTGTAATTATCAAGAATGCAATGTTCAATTCTGAATTTGAACCAAAATGCCATTTGTAACACACTTTCTGGTGTTAAACAAATCTAAAAAGGGTAAAATGATTAAAGATTCTCATACAAGGTAAGAATTAAGGAGATTTTTCCATCATTAATATTTACTGATTTTACAATGCAGCTTGTACAAAACAAAACTGCATACTAATTTCAAAAGAAACTTATATCATGAAAGTGGTTCCTGGTGTAACTTCTGTAACAAGAATCTCACTTTGTGTGTTAGTGCCTCACTTTACAATCATTATAAGAAAATGTACTTATTAAGGCTGGTGATACATGATTGCTGCTATATAAGATGGTCTTCAAAACAGTAGTCTCATGGCAATAAACCTGAAGGGATGCCTGGAATTCTCAAGTTAAAAATTTTATTAATATAAAACAATTCTTGGAAAGCAAATTTATTTTTAAAAATAAAGAGAAATATTTCGAAGCATACCTGAAATAATTTTAGGAGTTTGGATTTCCACAAAACCTTTGTTAATTAAAGTTTCTCGGAAGAGATGGCAGATGCCAGACTGGAGACGGAAGACTGCCTGACTAGTTGATGTCTAGAAGATAGTAATAAAATCTAATCAAATCAACATAATTAATTACTAAACACTAACTCTGTGGGCTAGGCACTGTGAAAACCTAACAATTCTTGCCTTCAACATTTTAAAATTCAAATAATTGGGGAGAAGACAAAAGGACACAAATAAATATAATACAAGGCAAAAAAGCATGCTGGACTATAATGACTACATATGATCATATAATGCTATTTCACCAGAAATGCTCAGTGAGCAGATGTTTTAATTTGTAGGAATTCCATAAAAGAAAAATATTTCTTAACAATTAGTAAAACAACTTATTTGTGAATGGTCTTACTGCTTTTTTAAAGGCAACCCATAAAGTGAGACGTACCAATGTTTGTGCAGCATATTAATGTTCTAAATAAGATGTTATTTGACAATAAATGAATAAAAAACATGTATTTAGTACTCTAACTGTCCAGCACAGTCACCTATTCTTTCTACTTTTTCTCTTTCCCTCCTTTCTTTCTCATTTCCTCCTGTTTTACTTTTAGCCTCAATTAGTTGTGATGGTGACCAGAAAGCTCTAGAGGTAATTATCTCTACTTTAGACTAACTTTTGTCCACTTCTCTGGTCAAAAGAAGTGATTTCTTATCTTTAGGTCTTGCTTATTACATTTTTTAAAAATAGCTATCCTATGGCTACGTAGGTGTTTAGTAAAGTATGTCAACTCAGACAACTAAGTTAGCTGTGAATAGTTGAGTTAGGTGAAGAAATTGTCTTCTTAGTCTTATTAAAAGAATTTCAATTACTTCTTCCATCTCAAAGGGCTCACCCCTTCTGCATTTACACAGCAGTATCCTGAGAAAACACTGTTAATGATGAAATGATTACATTTCTTTCACTTTAAAGAATGATATTTAAATAACCTTTAATTTCTGCAGATCAGATAAAAATATTCGTGTAAACTGGTCATATTCAATTAACATTATTTTGTAGTTCACATTTAAAGTTACATCAATAGTTTCTCATAAAACAATGAAAACCACTTAAAAGATCTTTATAATTTATTATTTACTTATTCATTTTCAAGATGTCTACATTTAAACTATAGAAAAAAACTTGTGGCTTTTTTCACATTATGTGGTTTAATGAAACATTTGGTTCATCCAATCAAAACAAATTGAATAATCTTATGCTTTCAAAAAACCTAGTGACCTATTTAACAAAAAGCTGTTTCACTGTTACTGACAAATGTAGACAGATGTATTTCAGTTCAGAATATGTTCTGTAAGAGGGTCACTGAATACATTTTATTGCCACTTACCTCTTAGCTAACTCAACTAAACTGCAACCTCACTGCAACCTCTGCTTCCTGGGTTCAAGTGATTCTCCTGTCTCAACCTCCTGAGTAGCTGGGATTACAGGTGCCCACCACCATGCCCAGCTAATTTTTGTATTTCTAGTAGAGACCAGGTTTCACCATTTTGGCCAGGCTGGTCTCGAACCCCTGATCCCAGGTGATCTGCCCGTCATGACCTCCCAAAGTGCTGGGATTACAGGTGTGAGCCACAATGCCTGGCCTAAACTCACTTCAACTAACCAAAATTTTACTAAACGGAAATTACACTTACGAACCGGTTGTCAAAAATTATATAATATGAATAAAAACTTCACCAATTACGTTTTTAAAAAACCGTACAGTGCCCAGATTCTTTCCTTCCTGATTGTATAAACAAGTGTGTTAATGTGTAACATTTATGGAGAAAATGGATCTGTCATATATAAGAAATATAATTTTTTTCTCATTAGTTTCTTCAAGGTACTTACTAACTGCTAGGAGGACAGGGACCTACTTGATTAGACACTGAACAGTTAATCACATGACAATTCCAAAACATCCTAATTTCCACCTAGCATTTACATACTGGAGAAAATTCTCTAGCAGATTCTAGCTTTTAAATGGTTTGAGAACCGCCAGTCACAGAGGTGAATGGGAAAATAATTAAAGAAAAAAGAATTACTAAATATAAGATGTTCTTTAAAAGTAAATAGCAAGGAAGAAAAACAAATATTTCAAAATAAATCCGCAACTATTTTGATTATGTTTCTTACTAGCAAGAATCCCTATGACTGCAAAGAGAATCATACTGTGCTAGTGAATTCAGACTAGCTATCTCTGCTGGTTAGAATAAGATAAAGAGTTAGTATTAGCATCCTGTAAACTTTCTAACTTTGCCCAGAGGAAAATACTGTTCTCAGGCCCAGGTTGGTCAGTTAATTTAGCAGAGGAAGAGTACTAAGCAGACTGCATCAGAGTCTGAGAAACTTTTGCACTTAATGCTGGGTCATCTTTCTACATTTATTCCTCCTTCAGAAAGTATTATTGTTACATGAGAGAACAATACAACATAGTTAAAATAAGAAATGGAAAGGCATTTTTTCCTCTCCTGGTCAAAGCAAGACATTTTGGGTGAAACAGATCTAAAGAGAACCAAAATCAATTTTTTATAGACTCATTTAAAAACTGTTTCCCTATTACATATTGATTACTACAATCGACTTCTACATGTGTTTAAGAATTTGATAGCTAAGGTAAAAATCAACAATGATCCAACTTGTCAGTAAGATTACAGAATGTATATAACAAAATTATGTTTAATAGGGTAATTATATATTAAACCTATTTCAAATCAAATGCTTCTAAAATATAATATATAAAGTGAATGCAATATGTTAATTTCAGCGTAATTATATAACAACCTTATTTTCAATTGAGAAGGAATGTACAAATACCTTATGTATTTATCATTATTATACTTACCCTTACCTTAAGATACATAAATGAACAGGAAAAAGGCTTTATCATTTAAGTTATAAACCATACTAATGATATTAGTTTTCTCAATGTTTAAATCTAAAAATTGTTTTGGGTCAAACAAATATTTTAGGAATACCATAATATGTGAAAAAATAGTACTTACTCCTCACTCATTCAACAAATATTTATTATATGCCTACTGGCACTGGGCTAGGTGTTAGATAATAATGGTGATTACAGAGGGCATGAGATAGAAGACAAACTAAACAGAAAATAGAAAACTAATTTTTCTATACTTAAAAAATTACTTTTAGAAAAACAAAACGGAAAACCTAGTTCTTGAACTTCAGTTTTAAAGAAGCTTGACATTCCTTATATTAAAATAGTATTTTTAAATTCTATAGCAAATTTTCCAAAAGCATGTTTATTAAATTTAGAACACTGATAATCTGTATTACACAAAAGATCTGAAATGAGGGGAAAAACAACATTTTGCATTTGTAGAATTCCTTTCCTGAGGACCTCATAGCACTAGAAGGCAAACATTGTATCTTTTATGGAGAAGACAGACAGGTACATGGAGAGAAGTAAGGGTGCTGAGAGAAAGAATTCCAATAGAAGACAAAAATTCAAACAAACCCAAACTTTATAATGCAATCTTTAATAGTATTTAGCTCCTTACCATCCTCACAACAAATTACTTCCATGTTGTATTAGACTTGAAGCTTTTAAAATTACCTATTTAAGTTATCATCTTAACTATCACCTACTACATCTTTTGCTTCTAATGGCTGCAGATAATTCCTGTTCATTTATGGTTTATCTGGTTACAGGAACACTACTGCAAAGCTGGACTAGGGGTCAGGAAAGACAGCAGAAAAGGCAGTGGGAAAGACATTTCTAAAATGATATCTGATTTAATTCCAAAGGGAACTATCATTTTTAAAGATCAGAGTTATGTAGAACTTTTTTTTTAGACAGAGGCTCACTCTGTTGCCCAGGCTGGAATGCAGTGGCATGATTTCAGCTCACTGCAACTTCCACCTCCCAGGTTCAAGTGATTCTCCTGACTCAGCCTCCTGAGTAGCTAGGACTACAGGCACATGCCACCATGCCTGGCTAATTATTTTGTATTTTAGTAGAGTTGGGGTTTCACCATGTTGGCCAGGCTGATATTCAACTCCTGACTTCAAGTAATCCACTTGCCTCAGCCTCCCTAAGTGCTGGGATTATAAGCATGAGCCACCATGCCTGGCCAGATTTATGTAGAATTTCTTCTTCCTTCTTTCTTTTGAGATGGAATTTCTTTCTTGTTGCCCAGGTGGGAGTGCAATGGCATGATCTCGGCTCACTGCAACCTCTGCCTCCCAGGTTCAATTCAAGCAATGCTCCTGCCTTGGCCTCCCAAGTAGCTGGGATTACGGGTGCCCGCCACTATGCCTGGCTAATTTTTGTATTTTAAGTAGAGACGGGGTTTTACTATGTTAGTCAGGCTGGTTTTGAACTCCTGACCTCAAGTAATCCACTCACTTCAGCCTCCCAAAGTGCTGGGATTACAGGCATGAGCCAGTGCACCTGGCCAGATTTATGTAGAATTTCTAATCGAACAAAAGTAATCTCTGAGAGAAAGAATCCAAACTGTCTAAAATTGCTATCATATTACTCTAACAAGGAGATTCCAGCTGTGTGTGTTCAGGTTAACTCTGTGTCAACACATTTCAACACATATACATCCATTCTAATGTATGACAAAAATGCTAGCAGATCAAGTATGTATGTCCCTATGGAGGGACCCTGCGATACAAAACAGTGCTGAGCGTCCTTAAAATATTTTTCTAACTGATGCATTTGTTCTGAGGTCAACAGTTACAACATCCCTGAGGATACCTCCCCTTGACTATTTCAGACTATCCAGATCTACTTTCAAAGAACTATAGCTGTGGTGATCAAACACCTATCATTCTCATGGCAGCCCTGAGTTCCCAATCTTATGTCCACTGCTGACACAAACCAGCATTTCTTAAACTTGTCTTCTGTGTTTTACTATCATTTCTGTCATACTGGGTACCTCCTGTACTAGTACTTAATATTTTCTTTTAAATCATGTTTTAAAACTTAGCTAATTCTAAGCAATAATATCCATGAAAACATGAATTTTATTTGCTGGTTATATTGTATAACTATTAAAATAAAAAATATTCATCTGTTTAACACCCAGAAATCACTGTGCACCTTTCACTGGTAGAGGTACCATACTTGGGAAAACACTGCAAAACCAATGAAATGTCATATAAGTTTCAAAATATTGGCGTTAAAATGATATTGTCAAGATAATCTCTTATACTACACAAGTATAAAGCTTCTCTTAAAGAGCTGAGATTTTAATTTTTAGTTTGGAAAATACATATTCAAAGTAATAAGCTAGGCAATGTGTTAGAAAATGGGCTCTTGATTAAAAAGTATCGAATTTTTCTTCGTTTCAGCGTTTTGTGGCTTTGTTAAGACAGTTTCAGGGAGATATGGCAAATAGGCTTATTTCCAGTAAGTAGAGGCTGCACTGAGTGTTGTGTGGCGACTTTAAGCTCATCAGGAATAATAGGTATGTGGTATGTTGTGACTGATTGTAGGTTTTTGCCATGAATGTAGGGTGAGAATAATCTCATGTAATTGCCCTTGACTTAAGGGGTTAACTGTCTGTCCAAGAGAAAAGAATGGTGAGGACAAAGATGATGAATTTCAAAACAAAAATATGTATATGCTAAGATGAAACCACACCATAATAGCAGATACTTTTCATTCATCAACCCACAGGGACAAAGTAGGGTTCATTAGTGACCAATAAAATAGATGCTCAGATAGCTATTTTCTTAATCCCTGATGCTGAAATATACCTAAACATTCAGGAAAAAAAGTTACAGAATGACATAGTAGGAGCTATTTGATAGTGTGATTTCAGAAGTGGCACTGAGGAAAATGTGGTATATTAGCAAACAAAGGGAACTTTAGGGAAGCCACGGGGTCTCAAGGGTTAGGTGGCCCATGAGTTGAATTGTCTATCCCCTTGGCCATGTGAAACCAAGTGGCAAAAAAGAGCTGATGATTCACCTTTAAGGATGGCTCAGTTTCTATGCTTACCTGGCAACCCAAGGGAGAACATCCCTATTAAGGAGACCTCACACTACTAGTCTTATCTCCCCAACAAAATGATGCATTCTTTGAAGGTGACCAATATATATTCCACAGTATAAGAAACCTGTAATATGAACATAATAAATATTTTGTAGACTAAATAGCTATAGTACAGGGGGTCTAGATAAAGAAATAGACTGTAATTTTGAACCAACTAAAGTAATCCATTTGTATTTGGGAAAAGTACTTAATGATCCCCAAGAGGGAAGACTAATTATTTACTCCTAGGACAATCTTCACCTATACCTAAGAGTGAGGCAAGATAAAGGGAATAATTCTGATCTAAATGGAACTCTCCTGAATAAGTTCCCAGAAAACCCTCCTTTAACAACCTGCTAACCAATGAGGATGAAGCTAATTTGCCATGCCAATATGAGTGATGTGAGTGCTACGTATGAAAAGGGTGCCAAAGACATTTTAATTCACTTTTCTAGAAATGAAAATTGCTTTAACCTTCTTGGGGGCTGGACAGTGAAGTATTTTTAATCTGGGCACCTGCCTGAAAAGTTCAGAGAGAAAACAATTCATATGAGAAAAAAGTTAGGCTATACTGGAACCAAAAGGAGGATGTATCTTGGAACATTTGTATTACAGAAGGAAAATGGTGATTTTGCCTTTTATTTCCAACTTCTTTAACCCTTGACTTTGCTGAGAGTCTATAAAAGAGCTAGTAGGGGGCTAAATTAGATTGTAGTTTATTTTTTATTTTTATTTGTCGAGACAGGATCTCACTCTGTTGTGCAGCCTGGAGTACAGTGGCACAAACACAGCTTACTCTCACCTCAACCTTCTGGACTCAAGTGATCCTCCTGCGTCAGGCTCCTGAGTAGCTGGGACCACAGATGCATGCCACCATACTTGGCTAATTTTTAATTTTTTTGAGGAGATGTGGGTCTTACCATGTTGCCCAGGCTGATTTCAAACTCCTGAGCTCAAGCATTCTTTCCACCTTGGCCTCCCAAAGTGTTGGGATTACAGGTGTGAGCCACTGCACCCAACCAAGACAGTAGTTTAGAAGTAAACTAAGGTGCTTAAAAACTTAGTTACTAATGTACACAACACATTTCCCAAAATGTAAAGTCAAAGTAGGAGTTAAACACATGAAAGCTTGCAAAGGCCAGACAAATAACATGAATGAATGAAACTAATGATATTTGCAGGGTGGGGCAGGGCAAAGCAAAAGACAGTGTAAGAAACCTGTATGTGCCCCATCTAGCATGCTAGCTTATGTGCCAGATTCTCTTCTTTTTAAGAAAAATAATTCAGATTTTAATGTGAATACCCATTTTATTAATGATGGCAATGAATCTGGACAAAACAAAACGAAACAAAACCCAAGACCAAAAACTCCTCAGGCCAAATTCTAGAGGTACAAATCAGTAATAACTTGTGTGAACAACTAGTAAGGGCAAAATACAGAATGATGTCTCGCTCCTGTGGCCAACATACATGAAAAACCTGAGGTTTATAGGTACTGTCAAGAGGACTCTTGGTTACTGCTTGCTTTTTCTATACAAATTAAAATGGAAAAGGTAACAGACAAAAAGCAAATAATTAGGAATAACATGAGTATATAATAAGGGTAGACTCACATGATAGTAGAAGAGCCAGGAAGAACTCTTAAGGTAACAAAAAATTTGAGCTTGAGGTAGAATATTTAAGTAAAAAAGGAAGATGTGGTCAAAACATTAAGAAAGAAAGATGACAATAGTTTTACTACAATAATGATGAAACCACTAAACTCTCTTTCACTTGCTACCAAACCAGAAAGGGAAACAGAAGACCCATGAGACTACTGCATAAACCACCAGAGCGAACTGCTTCCGTATTTTTAATTCTGTGCTCCAATCAAATTTAAAGGATTAAAGCATTAATTACTCACCTCCACCTGGTCGATCTAAAATGTGCATTTATTTTTTTTCATAACTTCGTAGTGATATTAACGGTTATGTTTCTACTTGCTGAATAACTTGTCTAAAAAAGGATATCACCTCGAAGCAAGATCATTTACTGGCTTCAAATTCATTTGTCATTTAAAACAAAACAAGTCAATATCCTGTTAACTAGTTTAACCATTCCTGTTGCCTGCAGTTCTTTTTAGGAAATGGTCAGTCATAAAAGTAAACTGTTTACTGTATTATCATACTTACAGTTAGGCAAATGCCAATTAGCTTTATAAGCCTGAGGCAGGTATGGTATTCCCTGCCCCTCTTGATATTGGCATAATCACTTCACTTAATAAATAAATGAGGCATACCCTAAGATCAATAACTCTGTTGTCTAATCTTGTATCCTGGTTAACAGTAGCTCTTCCTTCCTGAAAAAAAAAGAAAAAGAAAAAACACATTTTACTAACATTTTGAGGAGCACAAAAGATATTTTTAATTGAGTAAGATATGTGTATGTTAACATTATGCCCAAAAAACGGGCATCTCAAATAATGGTAGAAACACTAAGTGGGGCCAGAGAGAAGTTAGCATTAAAAGACAGACAGAAAGAAGAGAAAGAATCAAGTTATTAATGCTTTCTTTCCCTCCTCCACCCCTCAAAGCCTTGCCTCATTATTGGGATATAAGAAAGATTCACCACCCACTTCTTCATTGATTCCTGGATTTAACCTGCTAGCTCAACGCAGAATAAACAGATAAAAGCTAATGTAGAGTAGTGGTAAAAATGTGGTCTCGGGAGCAGTGAAGGTCCCTGAGACTTTCTCACTCTTAATAAGTGTATTGAGCAGTTTTCTAAAGATTCTATGATGTGTATTATCACAGCAGAATGAATGCAGAGGCAGTATGAGAATCTAGTTGTTGTCTATTAAGCCAGAAATTACAAAGAATTGTGGTTATATAAACAGAATGTCACCCATAGGACAAGGTAGTGATGCCGGAAGCTGGTCCACAGTCAGTATGCCCAGCTGGGCAACGTTTGCGCTGCCAGACATGGAGTAGTCGTGGCTAGCGATTGTGGTCGTAAAGCCAAATGGTCTTAAGTTGAATAGGTCGTAAGTCGATCAATACCTGTACTGCATATGCAAACATGCATGCAATGTATATATAATTTTTAATAAATATTTAAAAATTGTTTTAATCCCCAATACTGTAAATATTGATATATATAACAATAAAACAAAAGCTTTGGGATTCTCAAGTTATTTTTCAGAATGTAAAAGGCATTTTGATATCAAAAAGTTTGAGAATTGCTGATTTTAAGAGTAAATTTAAATAACAATGGAGCTCAAATCAATTCACAGGCATCCTTAGTACAAAAGTAGGGCATCAGGTTTTCAATGTTTTACAAACTAAATATACAGAGGAAACATAATATTTCATAAGTATAATTTTTACCTCTTCTCCTTCTGCCTCAGGCCGAACAGCATCATCCAGCTGCAGGGGCAGGCGGGGTTCAGCCAAACTGATCACATAAACCTGAAAGTGAGAGAATGCCAAAAATAGTAGAAAGCACACAAAGTCTGTATCTTTTGCTTAAAAAACGATCTACAGTTGACTAAAGCATGAAGCAATGTTTGCATACATCTTTAACTGAAACTACTGCTGAAATCAAACAAGGTGACACAGGTTTTTTTCAACCTGATGATTTGTTTAAAATGAGGATAGTAATATTTTTTGCCTATCTTTATGGTTATTAGAACAGTCACATAAGACAACACATATAAAAATTATTTGAAAATTCTGAGGTGTCCACCAATGAAATGAGTAATGACTGGGGTGTAGGCACTGGCTTACGGTCTAGCTATGTCAAAAAAGCTATGGTTAGGGTTGATGCTATGGCTCACACCTGTAATCCCAGCATTTGGGAGGCTGAGGTGGGTGGATCACTTGAGCCCAGGAATTCAAGACCAGTCCGAGCAACATGGACCCTATCTCTACAAAAAATACAAAAATTAGCCAGGCATGGGCACATGCCTAAAATCCCAGCTACCTGGGTGGCTGAGGCAGAAGGATCACTTGAACCTGGGAGGCAGAGGTTACAATGCGCCAAGATCGCACCACTGCACTCTGGCCTGGGTGAGACTGAGACCCTTTCTCAAGAAAACAAAAACAGGAACAAAAACGAACACAAAAACAGCTATTGTTAGGGAAATCACTTAATCTCAGAGCTTCAATTAAAATAAATCTGCTCTAAGAATCAAACAGAATATAAAAATGAATAAAAAATAAAAACCCAAAAAAACAAAACAAAACAAAAGTATCAAACAGAATAATAAACATGGAAACTCATATGAAGGAGCAATTAACATATGACTTGTTATTATTATTTTATTTATTTATTTATTTTGAGACAGAGTCCCACTCTGTCACCCAGGCTGGAGTGCAATGGCATGGTCTCAGCTCACTGCAACCTCCGTAACCCGGGTTCAAATGATTCTCCTGCCTCAGCATCCTGAGTAGCTGGGACTACAGGTGTGTGCTGCTACACCCGGCTAATTTTTGTATTTTTAGTAGAGATGGGGTTTTACTACGTTGGCCAGGCTGGTCTCAAACTCCTGACCTTGTGATCCACCCACCTTGCCCTCCCAAAGTGCTGGGATTACAGGCATGAGCCACCATGCCCGGCCGTTTCGTTATTATTGTTAACAGCACATGGCCAGTGCCATTGCCACTGCCACCATTAGGACCAAATTCAGTCCAGCTCTGCTACATTTCTCCTTTTCTCATTCTTTCTCTAAGTATCCCTTCATTGCTCTCTCTAATCAAACATATTACACACATCTCATTTCCTGCTGCTCTCCTGGTTAGGAGCTACCCTAGAGGATGTTCCTTTATGTTGTCAAAATCCTTCAATATTCACTCACGCTAATTTCACATTTTAGTGATAAAAAGCAACTGAGTCATAAAGACCGAGCTAGGATCTTTTTTTGTTTCTCTGGCCACCTTTAAAAAGCATATTACCATATTAGTTAACCCAAACTATATCTAGAAAACCTGCTAAAGCACAAAAGGGAAAAATATCTTATTTAGTTACTTCAAGAAAGGGAATTATACTCTTCCAGTTGGCAGATCAAAACTGGTATTCAGCTTAGATACTTTAAGAAATAGTATACAATACCCTAGTATTATTCTTTATTATAAAATAGAATTACTTGTCACCACTCCCTAAACCCAAATTCTAGGATTCCCTTTGACAAGTTAACAGAAACTTGATCTCCAATCTAAATTGGAGAACTGAAGAGCTACTACTTCTACTTTTATAACCAGTGGGAATTAATCATCCTCTTTACTAGACCATGAGTACTCTGACCACACAATCTTCACACAGTGCTTGGCACAACAGTATGGTGCTTGGCACAACAGTTAACAACAGTAACTCCTGGCTGAATAAATAAATAAGTGATAAAGGAAAGTCATTACTTATATAAGATTTTATTTTGTAACCAAAGCTGGAGGCATCACGCTACCTGACTTAAAATATACTGCAGGGCTACAGTAATCAAAACAGTATGGTACTGGTACCAAAACAGAGATATAGACCAATGGAACAGAACAGAGGCCTCAGAATAATGCCACACACCTATAACCATCTGGTCTTTGATAACCTGAAAAAAACAAGCAATGGGGAAAGGATTCCCTGTTTAATAAATGGTATTTGGAAAACTGGCTAGCCATATGCAGAAAGACTGGCTCCCTTCCTTACACGTCATATAAAAATTAATTCAAGATGGATTAAAGACTTAAAGGTAAGACCTAAAACCATAAATACCTTAGAAGAAAACCTAGGCGATACCATTCAGGACATAGGTACAGGCAAAGACCTTATGACTAAAACACCAAAAGCAATGGCAACAAAAGCCAAAATAGACAAATGGGATCTAATTAAACTAAAGAGCTTCTGCACAGCGAAAGAAACCATCATCAGAGTCAACAGGCAACCTACAGAATGGGAGAAAATTTTTGCAGTCTACCTATCTGACAAAGGGCTAATATCCAGAATCTACAAAGAACTTAAATTTACAGGAAAAAACAAACAACTCCATCAAAAAGTGGGAAAAGATGGAAAGATACTTCTCAAAAGAAGACATTTATGCAGCCAACAAGCATGAAAAAAAGCTCATCATCACTGGTCATTAGAGAAATGCAAATCCAAACCACATTGAGAAACCATCTCACACAAGTTAGAATGGCGATCATTAAAAAGGAGACAATGGATGCTGGAAAGGATGTTGAGAAATAGGAATGCTTTTACACTGTCAGTGGGAGTGTAAATTAATTCAACCATTGTGGAAGACAGTGTGGCAGTTCTTCAAGGATCTAGAACTAGAAATACCATTTGACCCAGCAATCCCATTACTGGGTATACACCCAAAGGATTATAAATCATTCTATTATAAAGACACATGCACAAGTTTGTTTACTGCAGCTCTGTTCACAATAGCAAAGACTTGGAACCAACCCAAATGCTCATCAATGATAGACTAGATAAAGAAAATGTGGCACATATACACCATGGAATATTGTGCAGCCATAAAAAAGGATGAGTTCATGTCCTTTGCAGGCACATGGATGAAGCTGGAAACCATCATTCTCAGCAAACTAACACAAGAACAGAAAACCAAACACATGTTCCCACTCCTAAGTGGGAGTTGTACAATGAGAACACATGGACACAGGGAGGGGAACATCACACACTGGGGTCCGTTGAGGGGTAGGGGGCTAGGGGAGGGATAGCATTAGGAGAAATATCTAATGTAGATGACAGGGTGAGGGTGATGGATGCAACCAACCACCATGGCACATGTATACCTATGTAACAAACCTGCATGATCTACACATGTACCCCAGAACTTAAAGTACTGTTTTTAAAAAAGAATTTAAAAAAAAAAGTCTACTTTGTATGTAGCACTACTTCATGCTTTGTGAAATACTTGATAATTATTTTTATTATGGCAAAATTTGTAAGCTCTTTAGGCTTAAAATTTATTATTAATATTTATTAATGTACTGCATACATCTAGATAATAGCAAAAAACAGAAATATACACACAAACACACTTTTTTTTTTGACACAGGGTCTTGCTCTGTCACCCAGGCTAGAGTGCAGTGGCATGATCATAGCTCACTGTAACCTCCAACTCCTGAGATGAAGTGATCCTCCCACCCTGGCCTCCAGTGATCCTCTTACCCTGGCCTCCCAAAGCACTGGGATTACAGGTGTGAGTCACCACATCTGGCCAAATTTTCTTCAATCAAGTACTGAAAAAGATGTCTTACTTGGAAGATGTGGGAGTTATCTTTCTTGGTCAGCATAAATGGGTTTATCCATTTATCTCTATTCTTACTCTTTGGTCAATTTGCCTTTACTGGGTTACAAACTTCCTGCTGGGGTTGGTTCAAGATGAGACTTACACAAAGACAACAAAGTCATTTGTCAAATTAGGTCAGTAAAAATTGCAAGGTTTTCTAAGTTTTGAAGAGTTCCATCATAATCAAAATTCCAGTTAAATACAATGTTACTCTTAAATTAATAAGTACGTATGGGCCTATCTCTGAATCTGTCTGCCTGTCAGTCTCCCTGACATATATGCTCATGCACGTGCACATGGATCAGGGTGAGAAGAAGCCACGCAGTCTAAAAGACTACTCCTTAAGATAAATTTAGGGATGCATACTGTAGATACAATCTAGACCTAAATCTGAGCACTGCAGGTTCAAAGTGGCAGGGTTATTTCAATAGTACTAAGTATATGTGAATTCACTTACGTGTTTTTTTTTTTTTAAGCTGGGGTGTCACTCAGGTTGGAGTACAGTGGCATGATCTCAGCTCACTGCAATCTCTGTCTCCTGGGTTTAAGCAATTCTCTTGCCTCAGCCTCCTGAGCAGCTGGGATTACATGCACCTGCCACCATGCCTGGCTAATTTTTGTATTTTTAGTAGAGACTGGGTTTCACCATGTTGGCCAGGTTGGTCTTAACTCCTGACCTCAAGTGGCACTTACGATATTTAAGTCAATGATAATGAGCTCTTTCAGTTTTTAATCCTGAGAAAAAAACAGATAAGGGCTAAGTCTTGTTCAAAAAAAAAAAAAAAAAAAAAGAAGCTACTGTTGGAATATAAGACCAATATGGTACTATTTCTTTTAACTTCTCTATGCTGTAAAAATAGAAACATAATGATTATGAGATGTAAGATTAAGAATTAATTAATCATCCTTTAAAAGTACATCAGAAAACTTACAGCAAGATAGGCTCATCATTATTCACACATTGGTGAGTAGTTTTTCAGATGTGTTTTATATTCTTCCCTATGTGGCTGTGGTAGACTGTTTGCAAAAACGGCTGCAATACTTCCTCTTGCTCTTGCATGTATATTCCTGTGCAATAACGTTGCCTTTCCTCCCATCAAGGGTTAGAATCTATTTTTCTACCCCTTAAATCTAAGTTTTGTTGTGTGACTTTGTCCAGTGGAATATTTAGCAGATGTGACAGACACAAGTAGATGCTTGAAAAGTGTCTGTTCTTAGGGCTTCACTCTCTTCTCTCTTGCCTTTGGGAGCCCTCCTGGTACCCGAATATCAACATATGTGGGCTAGCCTGCTGGATAAGGGGAGGCCACAGGAAAGGACGCCCCAGATTTATCAGTGAGCCCAGCCAATGTCACATGGAGCAGATGAGCTATCTCATTTGGGTGCATCACAGAATTGTAAGCAAATAAATGTTTGTTGTTTTAACTCATTAAGTAATCTTGGTGATTTGTTATATAACAAAAGCCAATTGATTCAGTAACTTATAAAACCTCAGTATTTTACATTAATTTTAATCGGTAAGAACATATACATCTGACATGAAAAACTATTAAAACCCGAATCTATTTTTATATGCAATTTTATATTTTGAAAAAAGTTACCTTCTGAACATGTAACTCAACATCTTGCTGTGTACAGCTTCCAATTTTCTGATTCACTTTCCTCACAACACCTTCTACATCCACAATGCTCTCTTTGTTGATGCTGTCAAGAGAAAAAATTCCCAACTTTAATCATCTCATCAGAGGTGTCAGAACTTATTTGGTGTTTCAGCAGTAAAGCTGAATATGTTAAACTCTTCTTTAATACAGTAAGCCACTTGAGATAAAGCCAGTCTATTTAACCTACTTAGAATGAGCTATTATGTAGCATACCTTGTGAGATTCCTTGAAGAGATGATTTTTTAGACACCATAATTTAGTTACCACTTATAAAATACCCTGGACATAAAAGGTAATAAAACCAGTACTGAATTGGGAAAAGTAGTAAAAAGTCTTTTAATTATTTATTAAAGAACATTTCCCTCCCTATTTTTAAGATTCACTAAGATCAGCATTTCCTATAATGAGAAATACTGGCTTCAATAAATGCAATTACTGGTATGTGATGGAATTAAATAATAGAAGAAGGTCAATTGAAAAGATTTTGGAGTAATAAGAGAACATTAAGGTGCTGTTTTGCAATTAAATCCTTACTACCTTTAGATTCTGAGTATACTCTGTCACTGGATTTATAATTACTGGATTGTATACTCCCACTTAAAAGAATGCCTATATGAAGCTTGATATATATGACTATAAAATACATGCATCTCCTGGGCAGCTTACTTTTGTAACAACTTGAATTCTGAACACCAGATACTCAAATTCTAAAATACAAAATTTATAAAATAGCTTATTAAACACAATGATTAGTTTTTAATCACTAGCACATAACCAAGGAAGAAAATGTATAATCCAAAATGATGATTTCCATACAAAACGTACCAGTTTTACTTTTGTGTATATTCTTATACTGACAAAGTATGTGACAACATAGTTGATGAAAAAGGTAAGATTTAATTTTCATGGAAAAATTCTATTCATTTTGATGAGCATCTGGGTCTCTAGTAGTTGTGGTGCAATTAGACATTCCGGAAACTGAAGAGTACTTATTTTACAGAAGAGAATACCAGAATCCATTTCAATGAACACTTTTTTTTAAGGTTGAAAAAGGATCAAATGAGGATAACAGGTGAAGAGTAGTTAAGAAAGAAAATTGTTTATTTCATTTGGCTACACTGCTTAGAAATCTGTATGTCTGTTACCAACTAACTTAAAAAAAAAAAACAAAAAACCAGCATGCACATCTCTTGCACTCTTGTAAATCTGCTGCACTAGAGCTATCACCTAATACCTAGCTAAAATCTTGAGTACTGAAGAAACTCACAGCTGGTGAACTAAGACAAGGCTCTTCTGAGACTTGGAGGGATCACGAGGCTCCAGTTGACTGTTATAATGGCTTTCCAATACTTGCTATCTAGTGTCACGGAACCTAACTTCAATGTGACTGCCACCTACCAGTAAATGTGATAACTGAGTATATGATTCATGCCTGGTGAGAATTTTATTGCTTATTTCACATGTCTTCGCAAGGAAGGTTTCATCCTCTGTACTCATCAATGTACTGCTTTATCAAGCAACCTGACCTGTCCCAAGTAGAGGTCCACTCTGCCACCTTTCTTCTATGTCCCTGACCCCTTGGTTCCCTTACCTCACCTCCTTTGACTCAACTATTAGAAGGCATTTGCTGGCCCACTGGATTTTCCATTATCAGATAGTCTTCTTCAAGCCAACGCAAGTCAAACACATCTACTTTTAAGGATTGAGCGTCATACGTGTAATCTTCTAGAAATAAGGTGGAATATAGTAAAAGGTACTCTGCCCAGGGCTGGCTGTAGGTCCAACGAAAGAAAACAAAATTTCCTCTTCTTTCTTATTTAAAAGTACCTGATGACTCTTAATCCAGGACCTGAAACCTGGAACTATATCTACCTTTTAGTACTTTAATTCAGTAGTACCAAGTGCTAAAATATTACATCAGCTAGTCTAGAAAACAACTACCACTTAAAACATTGTTTCCAGTCCTAAATAACTTACAAAATAACTTCTGAAAACATAAACTATTTCTTAAGCTAGGGCCAAAGCTATTATAAATTTCTGCAATTACGAATTGTTTCACTGAATCAATGGGAAAGAAGGCAGGATTAATCAGTCATAGAGAACAGTTAACTTTTTTTTTTACCATTCCAATCTCAGTATTTCCCCTTATTATATGTAGCTGTTAAAAACTGTAACATATTTAGGCATTAGTAAAATCATTCCATGATTTTTCAAACCTTGGGCAATTTAGCTCTATTAGCTCTTTATAGCTACATCTATTTCTATCTTATTGTAGACATGAGTAAATTCAGAAGAAAAAGCATTAAAGTCAAAAAGGTTCTATTTGTGAAAAAGGGTCAGACTATCTGAGGATTTTGAACATACATATAAAATTAAGAGTCAAAACGAGAGACGGGAATACTGCAGTACATCATTGCCAGTAGAAGAATAAAATTCTACTGATTGTAGAAAGTCTAATTATATGATTTTAACTGACATTGTATATGAAGATGTCACAATATTTAATAGCATATATGCTATGAGAGGAAAGGAGGGGAAAAGAAGGGAGGAGGAGGAGAAAGGAGAGTGAGGGTAACACTGCTAGCTTCTTTTCATTATTGGAATCCCACAATCTTCCTTCAGAAACCTCACATGCTACAGGTGACATACGACCTTCTTTTTTTTTTTTTTTTTGAGACGGAGTTTCGCTCTTGTTACCCGGGCTGGAGTGCAATGGCGCGATCTCGGCTCACCGCAACCTCCGCCTCCTGGGTTCAAGCCTCAGCCTCAGCCTCCTGAGTAGCTGGGGTTACAGGCACGTGCCACCATGCCCAGCTAATTTTTTTTTGTATTTTTAGTAGAGACGGGGTTTCACTATGTTGACCAGGATGGTCTCGATCTCTCGACCTCGGGATCCACCCGCCTCGGCCTCCCAAAGTGCTGGGATTACAGGCTTGAGCCACCGCACCCGGCAGACATACGACCTTCTGAGAAGCAATCCAAGTGATGGCTTCAGTGTTTATGTATAAATTAACTACTGGAAAAACTCAAATTCATTCTTACTTTTTTTAGATAAAAGAAGAAAGCAGGGAAGAAAGGGTAGAAGGAAGGAAGGAAGGTAGGAAGGAAGGAAGGAAGGAAGTTAGTTTAATGCTTTTATTTCCCTCAATGTTACCCATTGAGCAAATCACACTTTGGAGAGCACTGGGGTGGAGACCAAGAATCATGAACTCTGAGAAATGGCTACTGTAGATGATTTGAAAGTCACTGATGAAGGTATCATTTCTGCATAGGAGGCAGGTGAAAAAATATTTAACAGCACACAACACCAGTCAGAGGTCACCATCTTGCAAATAAATGATGGAGACATAAATGTGGAGAAAAGGCAGTTTATCTATCTCTTGTTGCTGAGTGCCAGTGTCAGGTTTTGACTCTGACAAGTCCTCTTGTGAATACAGAGAAGAATCACTGGAATGTACTTACTGCAGCATCGTCTCCTAGGCTTGTGTGACCCTCCCACCTCAGCCTCCTGAGTAGCTGGCACTACAGGCATGTGCCACCATGCCCAGCTAATTTTTGCATTTTATGTAGAGACAAGCAAACACACTTTTATTTTTATAGCTCAAATGAAAGTGATTTTAGGCCAGGTATGGTAGCTCACACCTGTAATCCCAGCACTTAGGGAGGTTGAGGTGGGTGGGTCACCTGAGGTCAGGAGTTTAAGACAAGCCTGGCCAACATAGTGAAACCGGTCTCTACTGAATATACAAAAAATTAGCCAGGTGTGGTGGTGCGCTCCTGTAGTCCCAGCTACTTCAGGGGCTGAGGCAGGAGAATTGCTTGAACCCAGGAGAGACAGAGAATGCGCCAAGCCAAGATCACACCATTTCAGAGAAAAGAAAAGAAAAGAAAAAGAAAAGAAGAAAGTTCTTCCTTCAACATCTAAATCCCTAGAGGATTGCTTCTATTATCTCTTCAGCAATTCCCTTTTATGTTCTAGTTTCTGTATGAAGTGCTTTATGTACACACTATGTCATTTGAGCTTCACAAAGGCCTACACAGTAGGTATTATCGACATTTTACAGATGAGAGAACTGAGACTCTAAAAGGTTAATTAGACTACCATCACATAGCTAGTAAGACCATTTACTAATTATTGCACTAGACAGTTCTGTTAAGACTCACAAATTAGAACCAAATTTAAGTATCTCAGAATGCATCATCAGCTCAGTCTGAAATAATACATTTTCATTCTTAGAAGCTCATGAGCTAGTGGATTGCTTTACAGTTTCTGTGAAAAAAACTGAAAATAGAAGGCCCTTTTGTAACAGTTTCCCAAATGTCCAGGAATCATACTACCTTCCCCAGTAACACTGATGTATCTTGATGTTTTGCTGTTGTTGCCAACCTTAGTACAAATTCAGCAAAATCTTTAAATAATAATTTCATATTGTTTTATACAAAGTTACATTTAGCTCAGGAGAATTAATCCCATAAACTGCCTGACAATTTCTGACACTAGATTTTAGACCTGTTTTTTTCTTAGCACATCCTTAGCATTTATCTAAATTTTCAATATGGATGTTGCAGTGGACAGGACTGAATATAGAGCTGTTTTCCCTCCAACAGATAAATACGCTGTTCCAACAAAGAGGTATAAAATGTAAGTGCAACTGTTCAAGGAATTGTAATACACAACAGTATAATGGCCTCATCTACATTCACCGACTTATCCACATGGATGCTCAAGGGGTATCCACATGCCTGCCTCCCTTTGGGTCTCAACCACAGACAATATACACTCCTACCACAGCACCTGTACCCTGCCTCTGCATGCAGCTGTTTATCTCCGTTTTCCCTCTCCCAAAATTAAATGTCTCCTAAGACACAAATGCCACACATAAATATTTGTATACTCAAGCCCAGCAGAGGACCTAGACCAGAGCACATGCTAAATACAAGTTTGTAGAAATCAATGAGACTTTTTGAGTATTATTTTGGTATTTTCCAGATCTAATAGTTAATGTAGGCTGGGCGCGGTGGCTCACGCCTGTAATTCCCATA